TAAATTGAATTGCTTCCAGGGGAGCGATAAATACTAACCGTTTTTACACGATGAAAGACACTTTAAATCATACAAAAAATGTATTGCATTGTTAAATCTGTGGTAAGGGCTTAATCGAGTCAATGCGAATGTTTAAAATTTCAAGTATTTGTAAAGCAATTTCCCAGGAGGCGCACAAATATTTTCTGCCCAAGAATTTTATTGCTCGACAAAATTCATTAGCTCCATGCCCACAAAACTAACCAGGCAGTATAAACTTTTGCGCAATTATATAAATTTGAATATCCTGCCGCCCCCAACGGCTTCACCTCTGCTGGCGTTGACATTAATATCACTTTAGCTCAATCTGTCCAATTTACCAATAAAACTCTTGAATCTCGGCTCGAAGTGCTTTAAACTGCAATGGGCCAGGTAAAAGGTAAAAGCGAGTGAGTATTCGAGTATTTGAGTGTGTGTTCCTGTTCTCTCGTGTGTTTGTTTGTGCGGTGGGGCTTGTGGCTTTTAACTTTTGCATAAAAACAACGAACGCAGCCGGCAGCAGTTAGTAGATGGATGGATGCAGGATGCAGGCCAGATCCGAGCCAAGGATGCAACTTTCAGCTGCTAAACGAAAATATAAAACACTTAACTCGACTGCAGGGGCGACAATCCTACTCCCCCTCCACTTCTCCCTCGAAACCAGCCAGATCGTCCTCCACTATGCGACACATTCAACTGCACCCTGGATCCCAGAGACTGGCAACAATTTGATGGCGCTGCGCGGAGCGGGGGAAGCCCTTTCAGCCCTTTGGGTTGGGCCAACAAACCCAGACACAGCCAGCCCTCCCCTGGCTGTAAATTTAGGTCACTTTTTGGCAGCCAACAACAGTGAACCGGAAGTGCAGAAAATTTGGCCTAAAAATAGCATTTATGTGCGAGCAGTTCACTGGCGTAAAGTTTTACGAACTCGATTAGGATTACGATTATGGAGGCACTTTAATGAAAAAATTAACCCAATGATGTTCTTGATCTCTCCCAAGTAAATAGATGCAAAGGATGCAATACTAAGTGAATTTTAAAAAGGTGGTGAAAAATATCCGTTTTCTATTTACTTAGAAATTTCTGTGGAAATAGTTTGGAATCTTTTCTTAATTTTTATTATAATTTAGGGATATATTTTGGACTGCGGAATGTATAAATATTCCAAACTCAAATACAAGGACCTAATAAATATATATACATCCACTTTTTGACAACAAGTTCAATTTGTTTTAAGTAACTTCTCGAATCGGCCCACTGTGCCTGCGTCATGGGTTCGGTTTAGTGGGGCATTGAAAGCGCGGCTCACAATGACCGACCACCAACCGGCGGTGAGGGACGAAGTGAAAGGACTTCACGTGGCTTTAATAAATAACAGCTGAAGTTTAAATTGCCGTTAGCATAAATTATGAGCAGTTAGAGACGTTGCCTGCATTCAGTGAACGACGCCTTTTTGGCTGCGAAACTTCTTTCAGCAGCTCGTTTCCCTTTCTGGTCTTTGGGCTTTTTTGGCAAGCATCCTGCTGAATGGAGGAACTGGTGCCACTCCTTATGCATTCGACTATGCATAAATACATATCTAGCTGTGTACGTATATTTTTGGGCCAGCCAAAAAACACAAGATGAAAAGTTAGCAGCGCAAAGTGAGATTTCAATTTGGCTGGCTCGCGTTTTATGGCGGGGAGGAAACATTGCCGGACTCATAAAGCATTTCCGGCACTCATGAATCGGTTGGGGCCCTTGAGGCTTTTGTCCCCGCTCCTAGAGCTCCTGACTACCCCGATATTGTGATGTTTGGAGCTAAAGTTGTTTGCTTTCTTTTCGCCCAAAAGCCGAAAGCCTTAGAAAATGGAACGCCGTCTGGTGGCTTCCTGCTTCCTGCATCCATTACATCCACCTTCAAGAGTACACTGGAAAAAGGGCCCTAAAGTGGATAGGAAGTCGGAATTTTACTCACTTTTTATTTTTTATAGAATACAAAATTAAAATGTTTTAAATTTCGTGGGATACTTTAAAAGCCGTTGCCATTTTTCACACACCTTGAGAATTATATTAAACTCCGTGAAGAAATTGGTTTCCGTGTATAAGAAGGCCCAGTCTCCAGCTGGGAAGCTCATTCGCTGCATACTTTCCGTTTGCCCGGTTTTGTCTCACTTTCCCAGCAGCGAGTACACATTATATTTCCCTCACAATTGTTTGGCAGCGAATAAAAGAAAACCCGAGCTGTACTACCCATATCCATGGCCCAAGCTGAGTCCAAAGTGGGTTTGTTTGTTGTGGGCTCGTAGGAAGTGAGTTGGGTCCATGGATTCCATGGAATGCAACGACCATGACAGGGCACATGGCTCAGCATGGGTTACGGCACTCGGCATTCGGCATTCGAGTCAAGGGGATGGCTGGCATACTTGTGTGTGCATTCCGCCAAAACATTTGAATGCCAAGTATTCAAAGCAACGAAAACAGGGCTAACTGCAGGGATATCAGCCATTCATCATTCAACGTTTGCAGCCCGACACAATCGACTGAATGGCAAACACTTAATTTAATGAATATTGAACCAGTTATACTATCAACGAGATTTAGTTGATACCTAAATGGAATTCTATACGAATGCATCTAGTCCACAATCTACACATATCCCCTATGCAATGTCAACAGGCTGACAGGACACAGAATCGAAGCAAAACAATATAAAAGGTCGAGCTTAAGTGGAGATTTTGTTACCCTTATCTGGGAGAATTAATACTTCGATCTTTGTTTATTTTTCAATCGAAATTTTGCAAAATACAACAGTGATAAAAACTTGAAATATGAAATTTTTTGTGTATAAATTGTAAGGTATTGTACTTTGGAAATTTATGTTTTTAGAAATAAATGTTCAGTAGTTGCTTACCACAAAGAACAAAACATTTAAATCTTTTCAGTCGAATAGCTTGGATCAACTTTCTTTTCATTTTGTATTCAGTTAATACATTTATACTTGACCCATTAAACTTTTAACCAAATTGCATATATCTTCAGTGAGAGTATTTAAGTAAAATGTAAATCCGTGGATGGTTTTTGGTTCGATTGCAATCATCGGCAGGAACAGTGGCACAATAAATATAACAATTGAAACGGCAAATACTCTGAAAACGGATTCCTATATATGCACGAAATGAAAATCTCTAATAAAAAAAGACATTTCCATTACTGCGATTAAATCGTCAGGACAAAGCGCACACACACAGAGGCAGACGGATATAGATAGGGACTGGCAGGAGATAGAGGTGGAAAGCAATTCTGCTGCGGTCTTTGCCGAGTTGTAAGGATGAGTCCTGTGATAGGATTTCAGTTGCCTGCTATTATTTCAATTGTTGTTGTTTATATTCATTGGATTCTTTCCCTCTTTCCTCCGGCCCTTCCGCCACCCCCTTCTCACTCCTCCTCGCCCCGCGCAGCATTATTATGAGCGTTTTATGTGCATTGCACAATCGGCCTGAAGGTTGACCATAAAATATTTTCCACCACCCATCCGATGATATCAATTTTTACGGCTGACAATATTAGCCCGACATAATTATCAATCTTTATGGGCCGAACTGAAATGGTCAGCAATAAAATGCCAAACGTAGATCGGCGATAACGAATGTCCTCGGCCGCAGAAAGGATGTCCTCCTGGCGCAGAAAATGTTGTAACACATGTGTGCACGTGCTGATAAAATTAGCAATTCGAAACCATTTGTGGGGATATGGCTGGTGTGGTTTTCGGGGGCGGAAGGAAACCTGATATTAGCAGCAGATATATTCATGTCGACTGCTGTCGGGCGTAAAGTCATGGTGCAGCCAACGGGGCGGATGAGTGTTGCCGCCAACGGGGCGGATGAGTGCCAGTGCCGCTGCACCCGATGGGGGGCCTTTGGCTGTTTGCGGTCTATCCACCTCATGGTTAGGAGGGTCCCCTTTCCCCTTTCCCATTTCCATCCCCACTCCCTCATATCAACCGCCCACACAGCGCGTGTCGAAGCATCTCAGTCGGAAAATGGGTGACAATTCATGACAGGGCATGAGCAGTGCGCGTAATTTGCATATACGGTCGTTCGTTCGTTTCGATGGTCGAATTCGGTTGCCTGGCTCTGGTTGCCCAGCTGGCCCGCTCTTTACATTTTATTTTTTCCCTCTTCACCATGGGCCACAGAGTTCCCAGCCGTATTGGGCCGGCAGTTTTTGGCATTGACTTGACTGCACTTAGCCCCGTGGCATTACAAAATGTCCCCCTCATTCTGGTTGCATATTCTGATAAAAATCCCCTTTTCTATGCATTTTCCACAACGAAAACGGCCGAAAAAAGGGCTGCTAAAATGGGAAGCTGGCTCACACATTTTAAATGCAAATGTCACCATGGAGGGCAGATTGTAGATGCAGTGGATGAGGCGCGTTGGCGGTGTCTTTGTGGCTTGCCAGCCGGCAGATTAAAAGCGAAATTAGTTTTTCCTCTAATAAGCCAATCCAGCTTGGGCGAAAGCAGTTAGTGACAGGCTGAATTTCAATTTAGATGGAAGTAATGTCCTTGTATTTGAGAGATAAGACCGCTGATTCGTTGTGTGTGTTAATAGCCCTTGGTTAAGGGACTAAATGTACTTTTTGGTTCAAGTATACGACTGTAATCTAATGTTGTAAAAACTTCCATAGTGGGCACCATCGATGGTTTTAACTATAATTTGTGACCTCTTTTAATATTATCGGTGCTATCGAAAATTGTTATTAAAAAAAATTAAATTTCAAATTAATGCTTGGATCATAATACTAACCGTTGTCTTCTAAAAATAGACTTTAAGACTTTAAAATATACCTCAAATTACGTGTAAAATTAAAATACTTAGCTAAGCGATATTATCGATAATTGGCCCGCTTTTTAACCATCGACAGTATCGATAGTGCTATCGATCTTTTTAACAACCCTAGTTTAAACCACCTCTTTTTAAAAACTGGACCGAAAGATGTATGCTTCTCTTCTCTGCGGTTTTAGATTTCAATTTTAATATTATCATTTAGTAATCTAGCAATTCACTGACAATTTAAATATTTCATATACTTCCTACATGGCTTAGGCCCTCTTATTCCGCCTGTTCTTCCTGCGCATGTGCTTCTTCCACTTCCTCCAGTATTTCTGGATCTTGGTGGCTGCGCGATTCATGGCGAAAACGAGGATGCGGTGCTGCCGGCGCCTGGCCTCCTCCTCCTCTCGCTTCACCACGATCTGCTTATAGACCCGCTCGACCTTCCGGAACCCAATCATATATTCGTCGAGGGCCTTTTTGGCCTTTTTGTGCTCGTCGGTGAGCTGCAGGTTCTCGATCATCTTTTCGCCAATGCTGTGATCATACTTTTTGATGATGGCCTGCAACTGCAGGATCAGCTTATTTCTGGGGGATTCGGGGGATTGTATCAGAGCAAAGTCGCTCTGGAAAGAGATTATGACTCACTTTTCCTCGCGAAACACTTTTTCCTGTTTCAAGTAGGTGTTGGTCGATGTCGAGTAGTTATTTCGGGTTTTTTGCAGCTGCTCTTCCAAATCAGCCTGTCGCTCCAGACTCGATTTTTTGCTGGCGCGGACCAAGCGAGTGCATCGATCGCTGGGTGAAGGAAAGTCATTATTACCTATTGGACTATCCACGGCACTCACATTTCCTTTTGGATGCGTTCGTTCTTCTCCCGCTTCTTCTTCATCATGAGATCCTCGTAGTTCTGCAGGTAGGCCTCCTTTTCGGCCATACGAATCCTGATGGCCAGCTTCTGTTCCTGGATTCTTTGGCGCATCTCCTCCACCTGCTCCTTGACCACCTCGTTCTGCTTGTACATGGCATGCAGCTGCCTCTCCTGGGCGATGGCATCGGTGGATGTCCTGTACAAGCGGTCCTTGGCCAGGTCGTAGAGCATCTGGAATGCCTTCAGCAGCTTCTTCTCGTCCGCGCTCATGTGGTTGTAGTAGCTCGGGAACAGATGGTACATCTTGTGGTTCCGCTGGAAGAAGTCGATGATCTGGATGATGCCATGGTCCATCAGCGGCGGACGCTTCTCCCGCAAAATGAACTCCCTCCGACGAACAAAGGATTCCACCAGGTGAACGGCTGTCTCGAATTTGGTGCCATTCAGAACCTGCGCCATGTGCGTGGGATGTTCCAGCAATTTCGGCATGATTAGCGAGATCTTCACCCGTTCAATTGCCTCGGCCAGGACACTCAGCACACAGCCGATTTGCACCATTCGCACATTGGCAAAATCTACTCGGGAACGGGTTGATTTATGAGCAAGGATTGAGATTCGGAATCTTAAGTAATCGCCTTAAAATTTTGTACTTCTGCTACCCCATGTGAATCTACTTGTTTATAAAATCTACAGTCACATAAGCTTAAATTTTAAATTATTTTATTTTTTAAAATAAAAATAATCTTTAAAAACTATGTATTAACTTTAAACAAAGAACATTTATGAAAAAATATATGGAAATTTTAAACACCGACAAAGTTTAATTTAAATTTAAGTTAAATTTAAAGTAGGGTTAAAACCTTGAAATCGTATGGAGAATCATTGCTTTAACCCTACTTTAACAAACGGACGAGAAAACGGCCCTTAGAAATTATAATTTATGACTTTAAGCTGAGATTTTGCGGGAGTCTCACCATGCTGGGCCAGTTTGATATCATTCTTCTTGTCCGCCGGCATCGATTTGCCCCGCATCATCTCTGTCATACTCATCTTGGTGTCGTTCGTTATTAACTGGTCTCTTGTGAATTAAACATTTAATATTTTATTTATTTTTTTGTTAGTATGAAAAGCTGCGCATGCAGCCTTGCTGTGAGTTGCCTATTTTTATTTGATTTCTGCTTTTATTTTTTTTTTCTTTTTTGACAGCAGTGTTCGTGTGAATCTGTGTGGATTTGTTTATGTTATCAGCTAAAATTCGGGGCTGCCGTTTGATGGAAGTTGGCCCTGTTACCCTGATCCCCTGAACGATGTCGCCAATTTATGTGCACAAATTCCCATATTTACAAAAGCGGATCCTCAGCACATCTATCTGTCGCTGGGTTCGCTCCGCTGAGCTGCAAACTTGCTCAAGTGGAAGCTCTTGTTTGGACTTGAATCAAGTTGACATTACATGGCGTGTTTCAGTCGCGGACTGCGGACAAAGTTTCTAAACAAATGCCCCGGAATTTGTGACTACAAATGCAGCGCTTCCTGCTCGATGTTGGATGCACTTTTTTTGCAGCCCTTTGTACGCTCCTCTGTTCCGCTGTGTTGCCAAAAATTTATGGCTAACAATATTTTTGCCTGCAAAAGACGCACACAGCTCACAGCAAATGGCAAACAACTTGCTGCGAGTCACAGGCGAGGCACCTAAATAAACCAAATGCGCGGGGAGGGGCTGGCAGCTTTCCAGGGGGGTTTTTCGAGGGAGTTTTTGGGGGAGTTTTCGGGGGAGTTTTCAGGGGCGTGGAACAGTTCTGGGACGTAATTTGTATGCACTATGTGAACAGCCTCCGACTCCGCCTCTGAATCTGAATCCGAATCCGAATCGAGCTGTATGCGCCAGTGAACTCTTTCGGTTTTATCTTTTTTCCCAAGTTGTTTGTGCTTTGAATACCCTACCCAGGGTAGAGCAATCCAGAAATTTGAAATGTTCGTTAAATAATTTATTAAACTGCACAAATAAAATTTAGGAATTTAGTATTTACAAATTTTGATGAATATCTAATTAAATTAAATTAATCAACTTTAAATTAATATCTTGTTAATGTTATTCAGTTTCTAGGTATTCTTTTCTTAAGACGTTCGAAATATTCTCTAAACTTCCCAAACGACAAGTGCCTTCTAATAGAATTTAAAAAAAGGTGACAGTTTAACTTTAACTGAGATATTGCTAAAAGAAATTTCCAAAATAAAATGGTATTCTGTTAAAAATTCTAGAAATTAAATCTTCTCTACTTGAAATCCGAACAATTGATATTTTCTATATCAAAGTGTATAAATATTTCGTTGGTACGAATAACTTTGTAGTTAGCATTTTTTCTGTCGCATTTTCTATAGCCGTTGTTGTTGCTGTGCGCTTATTGCATTTGTCTCGATTCGTTTGGCTCGCACAAAAACAAATTGCCGGAAGTATGCAAATGTATGATGCAGCTTATCAGATATTGTTTGAGAGCCTGCACTCGTTGTCTGTTTGTGGAGTAGGAAAGGGGGCAGTGATAGTATGGGTGGAAGTGGGGTCGAAGGGGCGGTTGGGTGTTTCGGGGCGTGGCATTTGGCACGGCGCTCATTTGCCTTGCAAAAGACGCGCCTCCAGTGAGCAACCAGCAAACAAGAGCCAAGCGACAGCAAATAACTTTCAGAGACACTTGCACCCGGAATACAAATAAAAAACCAGAAAAGTATCGGGAATTGAACTGTCAGCTGCAGCTGCACGTTGGGGAAATCGAAATTGAATTACATTTGCACTTTATGCTAAAGATCCATCAGATGACAGCAGCAGCCAATGGAGGGAGATAAAAACTAATTAAAATGTTGCGAAACAATTTCGAGGCGGAGAACGAAGCCAAACTCCAGGAAGGAAACTTAATTTAGATGAGTGATGTCCAGAAAATAGGCTGGAAATAAAGAAACTCTAACAAAGCCTAAGTTTTTCCTTAAATTTTGTTAAATTTGTATGTTTATTGTATATTTTATATATTTTTAAGCAGGTTTAAAGACCATAAGAAAGGATGTTTTTGATTTGTTTATATTTTTATAATTTTTGAATTTTCCTTACTTTTTTTCAATACGCAAAGCTTTCGATACACATTAATGCTTCTATATCTATTAACATGTATCCCTGTTATTTAGAATTTCTAAGATTATGATACAAGTCCCGAGGTTCGACAGTTATGAGGTTGTTGTTCAGGTGCGAGCTGTTTGTTCAGGTGGACTTTTGCCTTTTTCGGCGAAACCCTTGTCTTGGCCCAAGTTAGTACATTGGCGAGTGGCTCTCGATGTCATTTATCAACTCCGAACTTTCTGACATTTATGCTCTGTGACAAGCAGGTCCAGGGCGACAATCACTGGAGTCTAGTATTTGGGCTCGAAAAAGTTCTTTCGACAGATGACACATTTTTCTCCAGCCCCCCTACATGACTACTTGATATTTCCATATTTCTTTAGACACACTGGGCTGGGCGCCGAACCACCCAGAAAACACCCCCTATTGATAAATGATGCTGATGGATTTTTATTGCCCGGTCCTCTTGGATGGACAGGGAAAGATAGCCGGACCTGGATTTTCCAGGGGGAGGCTTGGGCCACATGTATGTATGACACGCTGTTGGCCGGCTGCTTATCAACGGTTTAGCGCGGCTTGTGTGCCTGACAGGTGAATAAAAGCAGCTGTCAACACTTTTTTATCCCTGTCTTTTCGAGGCGTGTGTGTGGGCGAACTGGGTCCATTAATATTGATATAGAATATATTGATTTTGCGTTTTGTTTTTTTGCTGCCAAGGAGCATGCGAGGCGAAAGATTAATGCCTTTGCTAGGATGCCAAACAACTATTTGAATAAGCTTTCTGGGGAAATCTTGAAGGCCGGAGTCCGAACCCGAATCCTTGAAACCGACAATTAGCTTTTGGCCAAGTAGAGCACTTTCCAATGATTTGCCTTGCCGGTAAGCATATTAAATATAAATTGCCTGGCCATCCATCAAAGTGCTCAAAGGAAGAGACGTCGTGTGGGCGGGTGTAGGTAGGTCAGGAGTCAAATTGAGAAACAACTTCAATGCCAATTGGCCAAATCCAAATGCATTTTATGGCCACAAAATCAATTCAATGGCTCAACAAGATGCTCAGTTTATGTCGGCCGTCGGACGGTGGGCGTGGCTGCTGCACTTCTCGCCTTCCGCCGGTTGAAAATTTTATGTTTAATTTATTGATACACTCAGCTTGCAATAAAAATTGATGGCAAAAACACATTTACACACACCGGATGGGGGCGAGGCGAAAAGTGGGCCGAAGGACGAGGGGCGTTGGCCATAATTTTTCATTTCACTGTTTTGTTTCGCAGCAGTCGTGGGAAAATACGCCGCGGATAAACCCGAAACAAAAAGCTGGCAAAGTAGCAAGCAGCAGGAAAAAAGGAGAGCAAAAGAAAATCGAGCGAAAATTCTTTTCTATGCGAGAGAAATTCATGAAAATGCCCGACGGAACTGGAAGCGAATTTTTGTGATATTTATTTGCTGGGCCAGGGAAAAAATGGAAAGAAACCGAGTTGCGAGAACTGCAATAAAACCGAGCAGACAAAACAGGCGGAAATGAAAGCAAAGAAATAATGTCCCCGGCTCCAGTTTCTGTTTCAGACCCAAGGAAAGCAGAAAGGAAAGTGAAAAGTTGCACGAAAAGAGCGAGAAACTAAGCCGAAAACGAAACCAAAGGCGCAGCGCTGTTGATTTTATTTTTATTGCCATAATTTATATATGCACAGATCCGATGCTGCGTATACGCAGCGCCATTCTTGGCAGCTGCACATTATGCCAAGGCCTTGATAGTACTTAAGTTGTGGCAATGGATTTATTTTACTTAAAGGCAAATCGAGAGTGCGGACAGCTGCAAATCATTTTTAAATGCTTACAAATTTCCAACACAATTTACAACTTAAATAAATTTACTGCAGGCGAGTGGGAAGCACAGAAAAAGTTATGAAAAATGTGGAACAGCAGAAAGCAAAGCACAGCAAATGGAAAATAAATCAATCTTACACTCAAAGTTGGGCAGTGGGTGGCGATGGGTGGTTAACCACACTCTCCCAGGGACCGGAAAATTCAATAAAGTTTAAGAATGTTGAAAATATTATAGCATACCTGCGGGCAACTGCAGATGCAGCTGTGGATGTGTGCAGAAGAAATTCTAATATTTGTATAGTTGGCCAAGTTGTACATGGAATTTCGCAGAACCCTTAATGGCTTCACTAGCTTACTGCCGCACCCCCTCTAGTGCTTTTTCCCCATTTTTCCACTGCCTGCGCCGTTGCCTGATCATTTACAATTCAACATTTTGCAGCACCGGTGAATTATGCTTTTCATGTTGGCCTTTTCCCTCGTTTTGCCGCCAACCGTTTCCAACGGTTTCCGGGCATTCGCGGTCTATGGCCCATTTGTGTGTTCTGAGGCTTTGGGCGACGGCAGTAAGTACGCTAATAGCTTCTTATGACAGCAATGAGGTAAAATCATGCGAAAATTCAATTGCACGACTTTTCCGGCTCCGCAAAATAACAAGAAAGTGGGTTAGGTGTGGAAAAATAAATCCGAATTCTTTGTTTATTTTTATCTAGAAGCAGGGCTGTGAACCACTCCGGAGCTGAACCACTCCGAACCGGAGTGGTTCACTTTTTTTAGAAAACGAACCGAACCGTAAACGGGAGCCCCGAATTTTTTTATAATTGAACCGGAACCGAACCGGAACTTTTTTTTTTTGATATTCGGTTCGGTTCACGAAAAATTTATTTTGTGTGTTCGTGTTTTTTTATTCAACTGTGTGGGGGGTTTCTGATCATATTAAAATAGAGTTTATTTACTAAGGGAAATAAAAATGCGCAAATTTGTTTGGCTATGCAATGACTGCATCTAACTCAAACAATCTAATAATATATAACTATCATCTTCTAAAACTTTTCGCAGTATGCCCACATTAAAATTACATGATCTGGTAAACACTTTATAAATCATAAATCTAGTACCTTTACTTATAAGTCTTAATGTTATGGTACATATTTCAATGAAAATACATGGAAATAAATGTTGACTTTATTATTTCATTAAAAAAAATTTTTTGAACCCTGGTTCGAACCTGAACCCTGCTCCGGCTCATCATTGAACCGGTTCGCAAACCGGAACATTATCTATCGATTAGGTTTGAACCCCGAACCGAACCCATGCAAAAATAATATGGGTTCACAGCCCTGTCTAGAAGCTTAAATATTTTTATAATCCAACAAATATAGTTTATCCTTGTGATTATTCTATACTAAGTCATTGAAAAAAACCAATTATTTTATATTTTCTTCCAGTAGGAAGCTTTAAAATAGCATATCTAGTGTAGATTGAGTTAAACTGGAAAAAAACGACTTAGA